AAAAATAAGAAATCAGGAAGGGGGCAAACACTTTTTCACACAACTGTAGGTCATAGGTAATGGGAAGACATATTTTTTTTTTTTTTTTTATAGGATTTTGGCTTAGCCGCTTTAAATTCCCTCCATAGCGCCCCCTACAATATTTCAAAAGAGCAGCCCCAGCACTACGGTTCAGGTACATGGATAAAACTTGGTAGGGACATGTATCCCATAGAGACTTAAAAAAATGTCTCTTGGGACCATGCTCTAAACCAGTGATTCTCAACTGGATTCTCAACTAAAAATAAATCCCATGCTTTTATTTTGAAGGGGATTTTTTTATGCAGCACAGTTATTCCAGCATTTACGGCGCTTGTTCAGCGGTGCAGGAAAAACGCAGACCAATGCGTTGTGAATCACATCACGTGATGCAGCTCAGCCAATCAAATATGGGCATTCTGACAAGTTTCCTGACTCGAGTGAGATGTACACACACCGTGACACACGGGGGAGAGACGAGGAAAGCGATAGCAGAGCAGGACATTTATAATGCGAGTTGTAAAAGTAAAATCAAAGGACGGTCTCCAAAAGAGAAAAATGGCCAGAGAGACCAAACGCATGTAGGTGAATTTTTCCCACGGGCAGCTTAAAAACATTGTCTCATATGGAGCAAACGTACCATCTCGCATCTGAAATGAAGACACAGAAAATAAACCCAAGAGTCCAATATGATCAGAATCCGAACACATTAATTCACTGTCCAACAATGATGTTACCAGAGAGGAATAGAGCTGAAACAAGTGGTTTAATAACCACAGATAAAGTCCATGCACACTCATTTCTCTTTTTCACTTCACTTCACCCTGAATGAACTGAATTTAAAGCTGCAGGGCAGTTCAGGGAACTTAATTTTATTACTGTACATGACGTTTACCCAATGTGGTTTACACTTCATATAGAGCAATATAATGCATGTTTGCGCGTGTTCTGTAGCGCCACACAGCGAATACAGGAAGTGGTGGACTATTTGCAAAGCGTAATTTTTAGGGCCAGGTGGTCCACGCGGGAAAAAAATGTCGGACGAATTTTCTGTTTATTTTTGGAAAGTTTACCAATCTTTTAACAATTTGGAATGATGAATTCCCTTTGCACTGCGGATGTTCTCACTATTTACTCTACTGTTGGCCTTGGGAGGGATGCAAACAGAAAACAGCGGACACCTGCAGTTAGCGTCAACAGAGTTGACCGATCGACTTGGCAATATTTATCCGTCCGTCTGAGTGTTTGGTCCAGACTGGAATATCTCAACAACTAATAAATTAATCACAGGGCTAAGGGTTGCAATTTCGAGACTTTGGCAACCAATTCTTGACTTTGGTTGCCATCAGTGTAAACCAATTTTTAACATAAACAAATAGGGACCGGAAACTGCAAAAGGTGCACCCCAAAATAAATATTTCTTGCATTAGTAATATTTCAATATTTCTGTTGCAGTCAGAACTAGAACCAGACGACGCTGCATGTAACAGTTTACTCGCCTGCTGACAGGCATCTCTTTTGGAGACGATGGTGAAGCAAATGAGGTATGACTGTGGGGTGACCAGCTTTCCATTTAACCCCGCCTCCAAGCTGCTTGGTCTTGCACTTATCTGGCTCATTCATATGAACGGCAGAACAAACATAACTCTGGACTCCACTATTAGTGAGTTTACAACTCTTAAGACCCAATGATTTGGCCTCTTAAATGTTCATACTGGGAAGTTTACAGATGTCTCTTTCCCAATGTAAGTCTATGGGGAAAAGTCTTTTTGGGCCCATGGCACAACGTGACGGACCCTGAAGTTGTAATTCCACGGTTTGTCCACTACGAGAAGCAGCTTCAATGCCCGACGCTCCTCCTGGGGGGTTGGTTCAAGGTAGCACATCCTACAGAACCACGAGGGCTGGACAAGCGCTGAGGCTTGAAGCAACAAGAGTGTGACACAGTTCAGTGACATAATGAGATGGAGGATGCAAGAGGTGGCACATCTATTGATGATGAACTCCACCATTGACAAGCTTTTCATTATTAAGTCGATAACTGGTTGCCAGCCTAGCAACCACTTTTAAATGTTGGTGCTGAACCCTGGATGGTTATGAAATTGTATGCGCCCTTTGTCCCCAGAGCATACCTCCTTTTACCTCTGGTGATTCCTTTACTTTTCCTCTGGGGCCCCCAGCAGGTTGACATTTGTGATTCAGAGTAAAATGTTTTGCCAACTATTTGAAGGATTGCCATGACATTTTCAACAAATGTTCAAGGTCCTTAGAGCAGAGGTCCCCAACCTTTTTTGCACCATGGACCGGTTTCATGTAAGACAATATTTTCACGGACCGGCCTTCAAGGTGTGGCGGAAAAACACGATGAAATAAAATGATACGATCGGCATGAAAACAAATATAAAATGCATAAATAAATGCAGCTCACAATAACGCTGAATCAGTGGGAGCCCTGAGCTTGTTTCTCTGCAACGAGACGGTCCATCTGGGGGTAATGGGAGACAATGACACCCGAAGTCTGTTCCTGATGTCCAGTCTACTCCGTTTTGATTGTTGTCACTGCAGAACATCCCGCTTCACAAAGAGGATGTGTGAAATGGAAGCAGGGTTTTCAGTGCTTTAGTGGCGATCTCAGGATATTCAGCCTTGATTTTAATCCAAACACCAGCAGAGTTGTTGTCTCAAACATACTTTTAAGGCCACCGTCATTTACAATCTCCAGCAGCTGATCTTTCTCTGTCGCCACATATTCTGCAGAGCGGGCTTGGAGCTTCAGAATTACTCCTGATATTTAATTACACTCCTGATATTGTCTGTTAAATGAAGATTTATTTTTCTTGGAAGTTGTTGCTCTTCTTCTGTCTCCTTAGTGGCCTTTCCCCTTTGCAAAGAAGCTCTCCAAAAGTTATTTACTCATTTTCGCTAGTTTGCGGGCTTAATTTTTGAGGTAACGTATCACGTGACCGAGACAAGCGTCTTGACATGTCAAGAGGCACAGGTGGATGAAATTGCAAGAGAATCCGGTCATTTTTCAAAATAAAACTTCTTTCAGACTCGGATAATCAATAAAACGGAAATAATATTTATTCTTTCTGTGCGGCCCGGTACCAAATGATCCACGGCCCGGTACCGGTCCGCGGCCCGGTGGTTGGGGACCACTGCCTTAAAGGATACTCTATAATGACTTTGGTGATCCTCTGACTTTACTTCTAGCTTCAGCATCAGGTCAAAGTGTTTAACTGTGCTGTGATATATCTTAAATCTGGCACAAATGATATGGACAAAATCTGCCACCAACCATGGCAGTGAAACTTGTCTTTAGATTTTATTGTAATGATAATGGCTTGTTATGTCTGTTTGTTCAGGTGTTTGAGGGAACATCTGGCATCGATGCCAAGAAGACGGCGTGCGAGTTCACTGGTGATATCCTGCGTACCCCAGTGTCAGAGGACATGCTTGGTATGACGACCTGATTTTCACATTGCCTATTTAAACGAAACACTACAAAATGAAGTAAATATTCCTCTGATTTGTTCAGGTTTGTTTACAGCCACACGGTTCACCCCTTTCATCCTTCTCTCTTTGTAACACAAAGATGACAATTGTAAAGCATGTTGAATGCTATTTAAAGTGTTATACTGCATTCTCCTTCAATATGCTTATTTTACTTACTTTTTCAGTCTACTCAGTAAATGGTAAAGGCAAAACAGCACTGAATCAAACCTTTTTGTCTCAATGTTCTTGAATATTTCAATCAGTCAGATTATCTCAGCACAGCACAAGGTTGCATGTATTTCAATAGCAGCAAAAAGTAAACCTGCTTTTGTTTGTCAAGTATCATTAATCACGTCCATGAATTTATAATTACTTGTACTTGTTACTTGTAGACTCGACAAGAGCCATCAGAGCCACTCTTATCTGTTTAGAGTCTGATACAAAACAGAATAGATCAGATGTGGTTGGAAGCGTCATCTAATGAATTTCATTTGATCTGTGTTTCTTAGTAATTATCTTTGAATTCAACTTTCAGAGAAAGCAAATAGTTGTATTTAGATTTTTAAGCAGTTGTCTGCTTTGCTCAAAGGAGAAAATCTTCCTTTTTCAGGGCGTGTGTTCAATGGCTCGGGCAAACCCATCGACCGCGGGCCCACTGTTCTGGCTGAGGACTACCTGGACATCATGGGTATGACCTCAGTGAACTGTTGACTTCCTATTGTTTTCTAGGATACCTTTGGAGCCAAATGGAAGTCTCTTACAAGAATGCTACATTAAGAAAACTTTTTCATCAATAACAAACAAAACATGCGGATAAAATGGTGTCATTTTACACTTGTATTGTCCCCATAGGGAAATTTGTCTTGGTGTACAGAAGACGATCCCGACCACACATTACTTTAACATCCCCCAAATATTTAATGGTAAAATTATGATTTTACAAAAACAATAGAACATAAAATGTAAGTAATTTCTTTAATGAAAATACAGCTCATAAAAATGCTGATAGCACATCTGTAAGCTCATCCACATAAGGTGCGCATAACAGTCAGTAACACTGACACTTAAAAACTGTCAAGTACAGATGCAGCCACCTGGATTTTCCCCTCTCGGGGCGGCTGCCAGAGCCGAGCTGTCCACTTGTGAGCGGATCAACCACGATGCACTTTATTGCTGGGTGTGAACAGCCCCCGTGCTTCATAGCATGTGAACTTACAAATAAAGAAGGAAAAAGGCTTCAGAGCTTTAGGAGCCTTGGTCTTGGAGCCAGATTAGTGGGTGGCCCATCGACTTCAGGCTAATGTTTGTACACTTTGTTTAAAAAACGTTATTTCTGACAAACAGAAGAAATCAATTTGATGTTATTGTCACCAAAAAATGTTGATATAGAGTTCGTTAATTATATTGAAATTCCTTAATAACCAACAGGATTCCAGTGATTTGTCTAATGTAGCTGTTTCTGTGTGTTTCAGGTCAGCCCATCAATCCTCAGTGTCGTATCTACCCTGAGGAGATGATCCAGACCGGTATCTCAGCCATCGATGGCATGAACAGCATTGCCAGAGGACAGAAGATCCCAATTTTCTCCGCTGCTGGGCTGCCCCACAACGAGGTGAGACCACCAAACCAGTTTTATTTCATCAGCTACAGGAAAGATTCCTCTGATTCCTGATTACCAGCGTCCTGGGAATGTTTTCTGAATGACAATAAAGTAGTATCAGAGGTTCAGCATCGGTTGGGCCTGAAGACTACAAGTTTGAAAAGTAAAAAACAATCTGGAGGTGTGAGAAAGGAGTGAGGACTCTGTAGCCCCCTCCTCATCTCTGCTTGAGGCTACATCAGTCGCTACTAGCGTAACGCACGCTGGATTCTCCTTCACTAAATCAGACTATCTGCGTCTCACTATTTTCAAAATTCCAGTCCCTGCTAAGTGAAACAACAAACTCATAGCTATCATCAGTCAGAGTTGATTTGGCACATCTTTTAACTCGGCGGCGGTCGCTATGGACCAATCCATTCCATTGGGTAGAGAGGGTCGTCCGGTAACCGCAAGGTCGGCGGTTCGATCCTTGGCTGCTACGTGTCCTGTGTCGAAGTGTCCCTGAGCAAGACACCGAACCCCTAACTGCTCCCCGGGTGCTTCTCAGCAGCCCACTGCTCCCTATATACAGGGATGGGTCAAGAGAGACCAATTTCGCCCTTAGGGGATAAATATAGTATAATAACATAACATTAATAAGTAACAATCTGAAAGGGGCACATATTACGGGCAGGCTTCACCTCTAAGGCATCAATGATTAAACAATGGTCATAATATTAATGGTAATAACATTAAATATGAGCCAAATAAATAATAGATTTTAGCTGTCATTTGAGAATGTTCACAGGGCCGCATCTCGCATAGCTTTGGGACGTAATACCCTGCCCTGAATAGGAAAAAAAAATAGCTGTAACTTTAAAGATCATTGTTTCAAAGCAACAACAAGCCAGACCTTTCTCCAGAGCTGGCACGCTGCTAAAACAAAGTGTGGAGAAAGGTCTGGCTATGAGAGACTAAATCGCAAGAAATGTTAAATGTCATTATGCAGTCATATTCCAAGCAGTATTCCAACACGTAGAGTCAGAGATCACTCCTCTCCGATGACAGTATGCATTATAGTTATAGAGATATGATGGCAGCAAAAATTGCAGTAGTTTGTCACAAAATAACTCGTCAAATGCATTAATTTGCTTCAATGTAAATGAAATGTAATCCTATTTTTTATTTTTTTATTTATTTCTTAAGCAAATGGCAAACTGGCAATGAACTCAGCTACTTACCGTTACCTGAAACTAAGCAGCTTTACGTGTTCTTCAGGTCGAGAAAGAACCTCCATGCTGAAATTGCAGTTTGTTTTTAATAGATTCAAACGTTTTCCACTTGGAGTGCCAGAATGTAAAGATAACAGCCCACAGATGAGTGCGTGTTTATTTCTGTGGCAGCAATGGAAATGTTTAACATTGATGACTCGGGTCATTCATGTCTGTCAGCTGTTTTACTCAGTGTCCCATGACAACAATTTGACTTCTGCTTCCTGTCCAGGGTTTTTCACGCCTCACAATAGAAATGTTATTAAATTACAATTGTGTTGCATACTAGAATATATCCTGTTGAGATGAAGTGAAAAATGTGTGTAAAAACATGGGGTTTATGGGGTTGATACTTCACCTCAAAGAGACCTCTTTGTGTCTTTTTTAAGGCGGTTAAATGCAGTGACGGAACATAAACAGGAATTTGGTTTCATTTCAGCTTTGTGAGTCTTTACTGTTTGTTTCTCTCCTCTGATCTCCGTTTCACTGAGGGTGGAGCTTACTCACTGTCTGTCAGCCACCAATGTTAGCTGTTCTGTAGTCATTAATGTAGGGCTGAAAAAAAAACAAAGAAAAAACCTTGGTGTTGTTAACCGGGTTGGGAGATGCAGTGACCTCAACCGAGTAGGAGTAGAAGCACATCTGCAATGCACTGCAGAAGGATTTATGTTTAGTTTTTGTAATGTTTGTGTACTGAGGTGGCTCACACAGATGCTCATATTGAAAAGATGCTGCTTTTTATATAATAATCCGATTTTTGAAAGCACTGTCGAAGAAAGATGGAAATTCAAACTTATCTGACTGCCTGTGTTAATTCATGAAACGGTAGCCATATTAGTAAACGGAGATGCGTTGAGGTGCATCAACAATCATTGACAGGTGAATTGTTATCGAATCGTGAGGGCCGTGAAGTAGCCCCCCTGTTTAACACTGTGTCAGCACTGTTGCCATCGTTTGCACTGTTCAGGCTGTTAGCCGATAGCCGCCGGCTCTGCCGTGCTGATGTTGAGAGCCCTGTGGAGGCAATCCCACTGCTCTGAATATTGTATTGAGAACCGAAGGAGAGATTTTTAGTCACAGGTTTAAGTAGGACGTCTTTGGAAATCATGTCAAGGCAAAAACAAAAATCTGATCAAATGAAATGAGCAATGGTCACACAAACAACACTGTTGTATTTGGAAAAACAATATTTCGTCATTCAGTCTGCTGAAGCACTCCAGCACAGCTCAGGTTCCTTGTGTGATAGAGCATTTGCTGTTTTTGATGCTCTGTATCTTAAAAAAGAGGAAGTGGACCCCTGTACTCTTCTTTTCACTCCCACAATCCTGTACACATCAATGCTCGGGGACAAAATATAATGCATTGCGGTCTGGAAATGGTTTGCAGTTTTCAGTCAGTAATCACATTCTAAGGCAAATGTTTTGATGTCCACTAAAACCTTATTTTGAAGTGGTTATGACAGCCAAATACACAGCACACTGACACAAGACTATGTTTAAACTTCATGTTTATCTGCAACCATCAGTTTTTCCCAAAATGCAATTGAAAATATGACAAATTTTAATTTATGCGAAAGTAGCAGTAGTTGAAAATATAAGTGATGGATTATGAATAAATCTAATTAGTGTGTTGCCTAAAAATCAACAGTCAGTACTGTAAATGCTGATATTACTGTTAAACTCTTATTTGAAGGTAGTTTTTCGCTCCCTCCCTGTCACTCAAAACAACCAGATTTAGAGTAAAATAGTCCATGGAAATACTTTCTACACATGCTTATGAATAGTCAGTTTGGTTTACATCAAAGTAGATTGTAGTGTTAACCAATGCCATCACTGTTTATTGGAAGTTCCTATGTTGTGCACAAAAAAAAGCATTAATTAGCTAAGGCTTGTTTTTTGTCTTACAAAGTATATTTAAGATTTGACTTGGATTTAAAATATAGAGAAGCCTGAAATCATTGCAGAAGCTCTGGAGAAAGTGAAGAGAAACAAACTCTGGGTTAGTCTCTCTTCAACCTACGGCCGCTGTTTGCAGTGTGAAGCCCACCGTTCACTGCTTGCTACCGCACCATACAGCAGACGCACACAGTGAGCAACTAGCCGCTTAACATAGTGGAGCATTTAGCAGCTCCTGCATCAGAGTGGTAAGCAAACACAATGCGACTCCTAATACTTGACTTGAACTAGGGAAACCTTACTCAGCAAATCTGTCATAGCATCCCTTTCTTTAAAGACTTATTGTGTTACATGAGCGTACATACAGCCATCAACTCCAATCCCATCCGCTGTTTGAGATCAAACGAGTCCTGCTGCAGAAGCGGCCAAATAACCACGGCGAGTGTTGTCCGCCTAATGATGACCTGCTTGTCGTGCCATCGGGACGGTGTGAAAACTTTGCTCATTGTTTCATTAAGCACATGTCACAGAGGTCATTCATGTGGTGGTCTCCTCTATGGGCCAGGTGCCTGAACTCGGGGTGCACAGAGAGGTCAGGCCGGATCAACACCGGGGCACTGACATTATGTGATAAGCGTGAAATTCCTCTTTCATTCTACAAATTCATGAAGTATCACACAAGACTCTTCCCTCAACTTATCTCGTCTTCCATTATTTTTAGTAATCTGTATTCATACATAAGTGGAATATGTCAACTATATGCTGATATTCTATATCTGTGTAAATGATAAATGGTTTTAGCTCCAAGCCAATTGATTCTTATGGAAAAGAATATGTAGTTGGATTTTCTTTAAATAATGCTCAATTTCCTTCAAACAGATTAAAGGTGTGCAAAGTACGTAGTCTCCACTTGTTTTTGCGGTGTGTCAGATACATTTAATTAGTATTTCCTGTCTAGTGTTGCTCATCTAGTTTTCAGTTTGGAGCTACAGGCTGTGAACATGAATGAGTCCATCACTAAATGCTATCGTGTTTCTGCATTATTTCACACGGCATATGTCAATTGAATCTTTGAGTTTTGAGAAGTTATTTTAACCGTAGGTACTTGCAAACGTTAAAAGCTAAATATAATTGATATAATGAGGGATTCAAAATGATTTGCACTCAATAAGCAGACTCAATACTGGATTCAGACTCCACAAAATGTTGTTGAATCCCAGCTCTACTTGACATACACCCTCAGACAGAAAGAGAAAGTTACCTTTCACATTCTCTCACAATTACACATGGCTTCGTTAGGTTGACATTGGATATGTCAGTACAGACCGTGTGTCGGCCTTGAGAACACTTTGATGTCTAAATCCCACTGTTTTCTCGCTCCCAGATTGCTGCCCAGATCTGTCGCCAGGCTGGCCTGGTGAAGAAGTCCAAGGACGTGATGGACTACAGTGATGATAACTTTGCCATTGTCTTCGCAGCCATGGGGGTAAGTGGACAAACTGCAGCCCCCCCCCCCACCCCCCCCACCCCCATCTGTGACTCTAATCCCCTTTTAACCCTGACGTGACACCCTGTCCCTTCTCTGCCGCCCTGCTGTCAGTCTTTTATTCACCAGGTGATTTAACCTTTAAGTCCCTCTTGTTACTTCTGCACCTTTGAGCATATCCCCGTTCATGTAGACAGGTTACTAATTCAACAGGCCCTTTAACGCTGTCAGACCCACAGTATCAAGTTCGCTGCTCCTCCTGTTTCCCAGATTGTGACAGGTTGACCTGTACCCAACACACACACACTTGCTTCACTTGCCAAATACTAAGCCTTCACTCTTCCACTTCTCCACCAATTCACATTGTGGTCAGTCTAGCGGGAGAGGAAAGCAGTGTTAATAGGGATTTATACAAGTCAACACGTGGATATGCATTTTTTAAAAGGACAAACTGAAGGACATTGTGTTCACAAAGGCAGCAATGCATCTGTTCAATGGTAAAAAAAACACAAAGCTAAAACACCAAACCGTTATGTTTACCTAGAGTATAAAACCTCTATTCAGCCTATGGAATAACTCGTGATTAAATGTAGTCTTGGTCTCAATACTGAGAGCAAAAGTCAATTTGAATGTTTTACAAATTTTTCTTTATTTTTAGTCAGCTTAACCAAAAAACTATGAACTTTGGTCTAGTTTTAAAAGTAAAAAATACTATTGTAATTGCCACATACATACATGTAATTTGACCCATCTTAAGCATTTAGGAGCAGTGGGCAACTTGGGGCTCAGTGTCTCGCTCAAGGACGCCTCGACATGCAGACAGGAGGAACGACTGAGCCAGTGATGACCATTAATCGAGTTGTCGATCAAACTTTTGGTGACCATTTTCACATCACACATGTCAAGCCTCCCACACTTCTAGCTTCTCAGTTGTGAAGATTTGCTGCTTTACTTCAGCCCCCTTCAGACATGCACCTGGTTACGTAAACATTTTGACGATTTTATGTCTGTCTCATTTCTGAGGCGCTGAGTCCCATTTTTTTTTTTTAGGAATATCCAGCAAAGCACTAAACACCCAGCATGGGAGTAAAAAAGAATAAATGAGAGTCCACACTTAACCTGTTGTCATTCTGTGCTTTGGGACATTACGAAACAGGCAGCAGAATCCCTTACCCAATAAATGGTGAAACTGAAATTAATTTGGGAATTCACTTTGAGAAGAGGTCCATGATTCCAATGGAGGAGATACGGTGCAAAACCCACAGTCCTCTTTTTATTTGGAAAATGCGTTCTAAAGTTCAGTTAAAGCTAATATGAGCCTTCAGCAGTCTGAGTTGGTCAAATCAAGTGGGGATCTGTCTTTTAGGACAGAGGTCTTCAACAGGGGGTCCGCGGAGGTACTGCAGGGGGGGTCGTGAAATCTTTGGTTGATTAGACAATTTTACTTTTTTTTTTTTTTTTTCACAAATTTAAATTATTGTAGCGAATGGATAAATGGAGGCAGAAGATCTTATCTTTCAGTCAGAAATGCACACATTCAGCGACACACAGGAGCTCTCTCAAGCTGGGCGCCGTTCACTGACAGCGCGAGACTAGGCTGGACCTGTCCCTCTAAGCCTCCTGCACACAAAGAGGAGGATCCGCCCCTATCGCTGCTGTGCCAATCACGAGGCCGCATGTTACATGCTGGCTTTGTCAGGTTCCCCGTGACTGACCGAGAGCCTATTCAGTCCCCAGCTGACTAAGATCACAGACACAGGGATGCACGCTGCAATATTATTATACCGTTGTAAAAAAAAAAAAATGACTTCACCCACGAATCCTTGTGCAATCATTTGTGCAAGATATTCCTGCTAAAACACTGCAGCTCCTCTCTACAACAGCCAACTACTGAGGCCAGTATATTATTATAAGTGTTTGGACATTGTTATGAGCAAAAATGGATCGTTTTGTAACTCGACCAAAAAACCTGAATCTGTCCATTATTTTAATAGTTCAGTATTGTATGCAAGATAACAGGTATGTTTATAAATGGCAGTGGTACGGCCTCCCTACTCACTGTACCTTGCACATGTTTAAAATAAAAACATGAACATATGAACCTGTGTATTATTTGAATAGCTTAGTATTGAATGCACAATAAAGAGGTATGTTTATAAATGGTACTAGGCCCATTTAATATAAAACACAATTTTATACAATATATATAGTCGGGGGTCCCTGCTCCATCTCTCTATCAGTTTGGGGGTCCTTGGCCTGAAAAACGTTGAAGACCCCTGTTTTAGGACATGATATCCTCTTTTTGTTTCCTTGCTAAACAAAGGGGTCATGTTGTGCTGAAGGACAACATACTTGTATTAGCTTCACATACACTTTCAAATATATTTTTGAACAGAATGAGGAATGTGTATTTTGTCCCATCATCTGGATCAGTTGGATTTGCATCAGAAAGGCATTTCTCCATGGCGTGAAAAACATGTGAAGCCATCCTTAAAGGCTTCAACAGCAAGATACGTGTTTAAGATCCATCAGCCTGTGAAGCCTGTGAGAGAACTCTGATCACTCTACCAACTCACTGTTACAGTATCTTCACTGCCTCCATGAACTCTTCACCGGTCAAATCAACAAGCCCAACTACAATAACTAACGTGTGGTTTTCAGAGCTGGCATGCACCCGTTCCTTTCACCTCACGCTGTATCTTTGCCTCATGTCTCTCCCTCGGAGAACCCTGTTACGTTACATATTTGATGTCTGAAAAAGGCTTGTGTGTAATCTTTTGTTAAAGTGGTTCAAGATGATTCACCCAGGTGCCTCCGTATCACTAACTTTAGGTCAACATGGAAACTGCCCGCTTCTTCAAGTCTGATTTCGAGGAGAATGGCTCCATGGACAACGTCTGCCTTTTCCTCAACCTGGCCAATGACCCCACGTAAGATTCAGAATTGAAATGATCTGAGCAATGAAAGCAGTCACTGTACCGACCAATCCCAGTGTGTATGTTGAGCTTAGTTATTGACTCTTAATGGTGTTCTATCCACAGAATGTTCTGTTTATTGGCTTCATATTCTCTATAGTAAAATGTATGACCACTCTCTTAAATACGTTTAAATTTAGACTTCAACTTGTTATGTGTACAATAGAATAACGTATTTGTTTCTGTGACCAATCAGCATCGAGCGTATCATCACCCCCCGCCTAGCGCTGACGTCAGCGGAGTACCTGGCCTACCAGTGTGAGAAGCACGTCCTGGTCATCCTGACTGACATGAGCTCCTACGCTGAGGCTCTGAGAGAGGTACCACCACCAGCTCCTCCGTCTTAAACGTCCTAGTCACACTCTTCAAATCGTTCACATGCACCATCTGCACCAAGCAGTAAAAACCACGTATTTTACTTCTGGATATAGTGTGGTTATTGTTGGCCCCGCTGGAAACAAAAAAACAGGTACCAGTAAATGGACACTTGGTAAGTAGACACCGCTGAAGAAGTGCTTATGTATGTTAATGTTTTCTCAGCATGAGTGACGGACCAGCAAATTACCAGAATATCATTTATGTTCTGTCACTTCCTACAGCAGCTGGTCAATGTAGGTTTTAGCAAATGTTACTCAAACTGGAGAAAATGGATCATGTGTTGGACTATTTTCAGCTGAATTACGATAAACTACAGTACGTGTGTTCTTGGACCATCACTAGTATTCTTCTGATAACTTAATAAGCAGATATATTTCTGATGAATAACTGTTCTGTTTTCTTAGCATATAATTACCACATGTCTAGTATATGGAGTCTTGTTGTCAGGAGGGTATAGTACATACGGAATCCTCTCTGGAGAGTCCAGCAGCAGACGAAGCACATCAATGTAAATCCTCTGCAGCATTAGCACAAAGGTGATAGACTCTCTAAAGTATTGTGCTCCTTCCTGAAAGGGAGGATAATGTGTCCTTCATTCATACCTTAATTCATCCTTGTCCGATCGGCTTCAAAAGGAAGGCCCCTGCCCCTGTCCTCCTTTCCCGTTGAAGCGAGGAGTCAGGCCTCTTTGACTCACTTTTGTGTCTCTGTGATAATTCTTTTATGCAGTACAGTGTGCTGTCTCAATATGCTGGCAGCACAATGCAGGTTTTTATATGGTCCGTGTGCATATGTGTTATTCCTTCTTCATTTGCTGTCCATAACCTTGGCACATGTTCGCTGCACCAACAGTCAGCCAAGACTCGGGCAGCTCAATGGGTATTTCAGCCCCTACAAAGAGCCAGGAGGACATTAACATTTAACTTCTGCTCCCATTCACGCGCGCGAAGGTTGAGTTCTGCTTTGAATATACAGCTCGTAAGTGTTTGGCCTGCCCATCAACCTTTGCATCAGAGATTGAATGGGATGCATTTTCTTTCCCTCTTGCTCTTAATTCACTTGACTTTGGGAACAAGGATTTGCTTTTGGTCATTTTTTTAGAGGGCCTGAAAACAGAATGGCAAGATGTTCAACCAGCTGTTTGCCTCTTGTGAAAGATGCTTAAGGAGTTAGCATCACTTGACTCTCGAACAGTAAATGCTTTTAGTAGATTTTTTTTTTGTTTGTTTATGTGGAAGAGTATGGCAAAGACGAGTCTTAAGATTTAAAAAAAAGAATATCTATTTCTGTCTATTTCCCACCCTGTTACCAGAAGTCTGTTTGGAAACATCAAGACTCCAGCACATTAATACTGCACTAATCTATGTTTTCTATAAAGAAGAGATGACCGGGTGAAATGTGTTGCATGTAGTGAATAACACACAGATAACGTTTACATGCTGCATGCCTCTCAAAATGTCCATTTGAGCATGACATGTATGCAGTTTACAAGGATAGTATTCGCAAAGAGAATCATAGCAACTTTTTAAATATTGCACCCTTGATTCCAGCTTCTAATTTTGAACCAGCGCCTATCGACATTTTGTCTGAGACAGCTGTCTCTTGCTGGTTTCATTAGCCCTAGCAGGCTAGTCAGTTTAGCTTGAACTAAGTTAATTAGCATAGTTGAGCTAGCTAACAATAAGAGACTAGCTGTTGAACGTAGTGGAGCATTTAGAAGCTAAAGAGACAGATAGTCCTTTCAGGAGTTAATGCAAACCAAAACAGAGCTATAAGAGAGTGAGAATTGGACATCAATTCACCCGGTGGACACAAACACGACTCCAAATGAATGATATCGTTGCTCTGTGCCTGCTGTCTGCTTGTTCTGCTGCTCCCAGGTTGCCAAAAGGGAATTAATGCAGCAATAAAATGTTCTCAAACTTGGATGAAATAAAATGTAAATGCGTGTTAACAGCCTTGTTTCCTTTAGCTTATGCTTCTCACAGCTCTCATGTCACCCTCCCACTCCTCACCCGTAGGTCTCTGCTGCCCGAGAGGAAGTGCCCGGCCGTAGAGGCTTTCCTGGCTACATGTACACTGATCTGGCCACCATCTACGAACGTGCCGGCCGTGTGGAGGGCAGAAATGGCTCCATCACCCAGATCCCTATTCTCACCATGCCCAATGATGGTGAGAGCAGCAGCTATGGCTCTGAGCTTTCTACGCTTTAAGTTGGACCAAAATGAAATCTTCACATCCATCAGCCTTGTGGGGGACATAGATATTAATTCTAAACATATGTTTTTGATGCATTCAAAGCAATGTTGATGGTTCTTATATGCTTGTGTATCTTTTGGATATCAGTTTGGTCATGCAGATAAATGCTGTCTCCTAAATCTCTTGGCAAGTCATTGTTTGAATGACTGGAGTAGGCATCTCAAATGGACTTAGGAGACATTTTTGATGCCTGCACCACCATAGCAAAGCGTATGAAGAGCATACTCCTATCTAGTTGAACAGGAGTCCCCCCCCCCCCCCATCACAGCATCACAGGGAGGTGATTGTGTCGGCTTTTACTAAACAAGAGCTCATGAATTCTGTCTTTCTGTCCCATGTGGGACGTTCTTTTAACACCTGCAAATCAGTGAGTGATTTGAATTGAGTCTCAACTGTAAATGTTCTTCAGTGTGAATGTTAACTCAACTGAGGCCTTATATCTAGTGTTTACATTAATTGTACTGCAATATGTAGCACATACACAATTAATTGTGGGGTATGTTGTGATTGAATACATCTTTGTGCCTCTCACAGACATCACCCATCCGATTCCTGATCTGACTGGATACATCACAGAGGGTCAGGTCTACGTTGACAGACAGCTGCACAACAGACAGGTATCCATCAGCCTTCATCCATTTTGAAAGCCATTTCTTAATACAACATTCATCCAACTTGGGGCAAAGAGGAAGAATAACGTTGCCATGGAGGTCATCAGTATGTAGAGCTCCTGTTTGCAATGTACCCATGGATGTATTGACTCCCATCACTGGATTATTGACCCTTGGTCATTCTCAGGAGCGTCTTTTCTATGATTTCTCAGTGGATCTTTAGCGATGGACATCAGAAATAACATGATATCCTCAGGAAGTGCAAGTCAACGGAATCTAAAAATGTGTGTTCAGATTTGATTGAGAGATGATTCAGAGCAGAAGTAGCCGGAATATCATAATCCCCTCTCACTTTTTATGGAGTCAAATATGTTTAAATAATAGGGGTAGAAATTAATTATATTGACTTTTATAGTAAGTGACTAATTACACTACACCTTATAACCAATCCAAATGAATAAACGGAATACACATTGAGCATCCCTTTATACAAGCCAGTTGTAAGAGGAAGGTCCGCTGACGTACCTTCAGTGACCTTCCATGTAAATGTCCCCACAGCGGGACTAATAAAGGATTATCTTATGTCTCCACACTACATTGTGCACTGTGCCAGTGCAGTGGAAAGGTCTGTCACCCTTAGATAATTAGAGAGAGAAAATAAACCAGTCTGGGTTGAATGAATGTCTTAATCGAATCAGTACAGTGCTGAATGAGCAGAATGTAAAGAAGTAATACTTTGCACAAGCCACAGGTTTTCATGACTTGTGCACAACTTAACGTTTGTCAAAATGTTCCACTCATTATAACATGGATGGTGTTAGCTAAGTCCTTCTCTTATCAATGTTGCTCCTCATTGAAAATGTCAACGAAGAATGAAAGGAAGTGGAATACTCTGGGCTTCTCCCACCCGTCCTTGTATTCATGACAAAGTCAAAATGTTCCTAAATAGACCTCTCCACTAAGATTTCGACTGAGATTTTTAGTAAGCGTCATAGTTAAAGTAAAACAGTTGCACATTTTGTATTAACAATACATGTAATCTCATGATTGTCTTTCAGATCTACCCACCTATCAACGTGTTGCCCTCACTGTCCCGTCTGATGAAGTCAGCCATCGGTGAGGGGATGACCAGGAAGGACCATGCTGACGTTTCAAACCAGCTGGTAAAGAATCTCCCCTCTTGTACCTAAAGAATGCGTCCTGTAACCTGGACAGAAGGTTACCCTCTGAATAGGAATAGAATTTGGATGAATAACTAAAAGCACTGAGAATGATAATACATGAAGAGGAGGAGGACAACGTAAAGACGCTTGATTACAATTCTCTTTGAACAATTCATGAACTGTTCATCCTGAATCTGTCTCTAGTATGCCTGCTATGCCATCGGTAAGGACGTCCAGGCTATGAAGGCTGTGGTGGGAGAAGAGGCCCTCACCTCCGACGATCTGCTCTACCTTGAGTTCCTCCAGAAGTTTGAAAAGAACTTCATTGCTCAGGGTAAGAAGATGCAACCATTCACACACAGTTTAGCTGGCAACCTGTATGTTAGCTGACATTAATTACCAACCATTTTTATAATTGAAAAGGCAATTATTGAGGCATTCATCAATTATTTGTTGGTTAGACAAGGCACTCCATTTGAAAGGAGACATAACCCTGCTCCGTGAACGTAGGACGGGCATTTTTCACTATTTTTGAATCATTTGATAGATTCATAGGGTTCTTGTGATTTTAAGTAAAATGTAATTTAATTCCCTGGAGGATGTAAAGTTTAGGAAGCAAATTAATTTGGGGTGGGGGGGGAGGAGTGTGTCAGTAACGTTCTGTAACAGGGCACAATCGGGGACTTTGAAGTCATATGTTGGTGTGATTCAGTTTTCATGCATATGCGAGACAACCTTTACTGAAAATGTGTCTGTCACAGTTTAGTAACCTTTAACGTCCATGGTAATTGACTTTGATTGCAGATGCCACAGTCTGTATAGTGCAACATGCTGTCGTCGTTAGTTTAAAGTAAAGCCACAGAGGCTTTTACATTTGTATTTATCTCAAAGAAATAAGATCACAATGTAGTGGTGGTGGTGTAGGAACAGTCCTTAAGGTTATTGCTCAGCTATTGCAGTATATTGCTAAATGGTGGTAGAAGTGGCATCCACATTATATTCCATGTTTACGTGTGTCCTTGGAAAATATTGGTCTGTGTGGGTTCATCCTTTGTTGCTGAAGCATACCTGAGTATTTAGTTCTGTCTCTTTTCTTTAAGTTGACAGAAGAAAGCTCACGGTTACAATGGTTTAATGGTCTGGGTAGTATTTCTCCTTTAGAACACTAATAGATTCCATAGGAGAATAGACATCATAACCAGGAAAGATGGGAGAGGGAGAGGGAAATCTTTTTAGATATTATTGTTGTGAGTTGGAGGGAAAAAGACTAAACAGTCTCAGTACAACAACCTCTATTAGAAACCAAACTGTGTCCAGAGCAGAGACAAACTCAACCTCAGGTCAGAGATTAATTCATTTATTATCTTGGGAATCTATCACAACAGAGCCCACGGGCTATAGAAAAAGGTTTGTTTTGATCAAGTTTAATACAAGCCAGTGCCACTATGAGGCATTTCTTCCTATCGGGGCGTCATTGTTTTGCGGCACATTTTCTCAAATGTAGAGGTGTCTACTAACACTGAAGATTTGATTGAGTCCAGCAGCTGGAGCTGAGTTGCTTTGAATGAACTGCTGCTAAATGTGTGTTAAGTAGTTGGAGGTAGGATGTGATTAGCCTAACTTAGCATAATAACTGGAAACAGGGAAACTTAGGGTGTCATTTGCATGGTTTAGCATGAAGAAATAGTGTAGTGAATTAGCATGCTAGCTTTAGATAATTCACCTAAACACAAAGTACAACTGAGGCTGCACTCAAATTAGGTGATTAAGACAAGCTAACACTGCTTTATTGTTGCCTTCTATGAGAGAAATGTCACTTTTTAATGTCCCTTTTGTGTAATTGAGCCATTGATATTTGGCTGAATCATGATGCAGATTCCCAGCACTATTATACTGAGCATTCAATTCAGAACAGTGTCTGCACAGTGCCTTCCACCTGAAGTTGACAATCAGAGGAGTTCTTGCTCACCAGATGGTAACCTGACAAACATGACCAGAGAAAAGAAAGTGAAATCTTAAAATCTCAAAATGTGTCCTTGATAAGGAATTGTTGATGTCGCAAACAATTCAAGAGATTGCCATTGTCATAATGAAAGCTCTTGGTATGTTGCCCTTGAAATGCTAACAGAATTGATTGTACAGTATGTCTTGTGATTTCTTAGTATTTGACAGATGGCAGCACAACTGCAGTATTATGACTTGTACATCACATGCTTCTATTTTCTAAGGATTCACCAAACTTCAGCAAAAAAAGAAAAAGGACACATGGTAGCCTCTTATCAGATGGTACTCGAACCACTTGTACCTCTTCTCAGGTGGTTGAGGATGACGGATAAGGTGTTAAAAGAGGCACTAATAATTTTTGATAAACAAAGCTTAAACGTGCTATGTGTAATGTTAAAGTGGTCACTTGTTTAGAACCCACGGAGAATTGTCACCAATCTGTACTTCCCCTTCGCTTTAAGAAACGTTTTAGCCTATTTTAGCTCCTTGTTTTGGTTTTACAGCCCACAAACTCTACTCTCATTAACCTCACTCCCAGCAGCCAGCTGTTTTAGTGAGAATGAATGCTTGAATAAAGCCACTGTACACTACCTGCTCAGCACCAAACAGAGAGACGGTTATCTGATGAACATCGTGGAGCATTTAGCAGCTACAAAGCCAGAGGCTTTTCCCAGGAGTTGGTGGAGACCAAACCAGAGCTACAAGTAGAGTGAATGTTTGACTTCAATTCATCAGGTGGACACAGAAATGACTGTGATTGGATGATAATGCGTCTGCTCCCGGAGATGCTCACAAGCCTCAAATGTTTGCTCTCCAGTCTCTTCTGCTTGTAATGAGCTTGTATCATCTGCTGCATGCCGTTGGTCTGCTTAGAGCACACCTTTATCTGAGGGACTTAAAGAGACTCCTTTATCCGCATTTAAACAGGCTATTGCAATGCATAATGGAAGCTGTTCTTTAAAGTGAATACGTGCATTTTAACCGTGTCACATTAACATACCGCTACAGTAAAGAACCACAGGGTTCTGAGAGGAGAACTGGTTCTAAGCTCATGTTGGAGGAGATATTGATGCGTTCTTTCTGAATATAGAATAGATCAAAATACAGACTACCATTAATAAAAGTAACAGGAAAGTGTTGCTGACATTATTGGGCATGCAATAATAAAGCAGCTTATTCTTCATTAACAGTTGGAGTACAATCGTATTGTATAATTGCGCTGGGTCTCTAACTGGCAGTTTATAATCTACTGTAAACTGACCCATCCTCTAGCCTCTCTAACCCTGAGATGCTCACTTCATTTTATCTTTTTTAAGGTCAAGTTTCAAGTGTGCCGCTTATGACAAATGTGTTACTCTGTTCTTATTTACACAACTATTCTATGTTATAAATTATTTCAACACTATGAACACAACAAATAATACAAAATTAAATTACTGCAGCTTCAACAATAAGTGTCTCTGTATCTTTTTCTTCATGGTCTAGTTTTAAGACCATTGTTTACTTCATGTGATGTAGAGTAGAGACCGTGTGCATCAGACTGCCTCACCTGTTTGGATTCTAACCAGCACCACTGTGCCTCTCGTCTCCCCCAGGCCCGTACGACAACAGGACGGTGTATGAAACCCTGGACATCGGCTGGCAGCTGCTGCGAATCTTCCCCAAGGAGATGCTCAAGAGGATTCCTCAGAGCACCCTGGCTGAATTTTACCCCAGGGAGTCTGCCGCCCGTCACTGAGGCCCACAGAGGGATGCCCTGGTTCTCGTCCCGTTCACCCTTTTTACCCACCATCCTCTTCTCCCCTTATTCCCTTCTTTCATCTCACCCGACAGCCCTGCAGCTCTAGGGGCTCAGAGATGAGAAGTTGTTGAGCCTTCACCCATCCCAAACCTGCCCTCCCTTCTTCTCCACTGTTCTTATTACCCCACTTCCTTCCCCGAATGAGAACAGGCTAATAATCTCCCCCTGCTGTAGATGTACTGTCGTGTATATGTGTCCAGAAGTGTATGAAAAGTGTCTGTGGTTGTAATGTCTACTCCTTGATTGCAAAAAAAGGTGAACATATCCTACAAATGATAAATGAGTCCTTATTTATTGGGGTGTTACTGCTTGATCCCCCTCATCTCCCACTAAAACGAGAGGTTTCCAACTGAAGAAAGACGTGTACAGAAGAGGGTCACATACAGTACTCCTGCTGTTGGGTCAGTCAGGTGAAGCTCATGAAGTTTATTCAGACTGATGCTGATTCAACATGTAATTTTCTAAAGTAAAAGCTTTTGAAAATGAACAAATGCTGAACACAAGTTTACAGCTTCACAAACTGAACCACAAAAACATCACCATATTGGTATTAACCTGAGGGTGATTTCATAGTCTAGTACTTCTCTTATTTTGTCCGCCCCCTTTGTATTGTTTAATAATAAGCAGCTGCTGTATTTTTTTCATGTCAAGTTGGCCATTGCTCTGATTTTCTCGATATGCTGAGAAAGCATCTTTGGTGACCAGACACAGCTGGGAGCCGATGTTTGCTCGATGTTGACGCAGTACTTTGACTCTTTCTTCCCTCTTGCTTCTTCTGTCTACTCTGGAAAAAATAGTGCGGATGTTTACATTATTTCTGTGTTTTGATTTGTGTTGCAAAAAGATGAGTCTATAAGATATTATTAAACATTCCCATCTGTCTGCAGAAACTAATTCTTTGTTGTGCAACAATAATGTTTTTGTGATGTAATGTGTCCATGAATAAATTAAATTATACGAGTATGCCGTCTCATCTCTATCCACCTGTCATTCAACACCTACATGAACATCAGCGATGAGGGATACTAGTTAGTTCAGCTCACAGCTTTATTACTAAGCACCTCCGAAAATCTGATCAACTGTATTTCACATTACAACTATTTTATTAGATATTATATAGGAATCATTTATTCTCTGTTAACAGTAAGTGGAATGTTAAAATGTTTTTAAAACAAAATGGTTCTTCAAGAGCTGCTATCTTCAATAAAAATCTTTACGCTCTTACAGTTTGGCAAGAGTAATGTTAACGCATCAGTTTTTGGAACAACACGAGCTAACCTCTAAAAATACAGCATTTACTACAGATATGTTTATGTTTAACAGAACAATGTCCACTAATCACAATCTTCATTCAGTGTTGGTTCAAAGCACGTAAACAGACCTTTGAGCTGAGATTTCTACAAACGCACTTTTCTCTTGAAGCTTCATCTTAGTTTTGTGTGTTCCTTATATATTTCCTCCTCCAAAATAAAAGTCAACCTTTCTCTCCCAGAAAGGTTAAGTACTACTTTAATGGAAGCGTTAGGGAATGCGCAGGGCTGAAATGTGAGAGTGAATATGTCTGTATGCATTTCATTTGTAGGCTACTCTTCTTATATACAGTACAGACGATGTACTGTGCGCTTGTAGCTGCCGCGAGGGACTTAACTTTACCTTTCAGGTGTGTCGCGTGGGAGCACTTCCTGTTGACCTTTGGATAAAGCTGTTCTCGCTATGGCTGCTGAGGAGCTGAATAAAATCAAAGTGATTACAAAGTTGTCGAACCAAGGTAAGTTTGGTTAATACGTGGTCCCGCACCGACACTCGCTCTTAGACTGAGAGACTACAAATACAAACGATACATATTGAGTTGTGCTCGTTAGTTGCTCGTGCAGCACTGGCTTTAATACGTGTTTAAATGCTAGTATGTGATAAATAGATGACGCGGTTTTATGTAAATGATAAACCTGTGGTGTTTGGGGTCAGGTGTGTATGGATAAAACACGCTGTGCTGGAGTATAATGTGCATAATGCTGAGTCATCGTTCTATGCTTGGTCCACTCTGAGGGAGACACACTGCTACTGGACTTATCTCGTGGTTGATGTTCACTGCTTTACACTGAATTTGTTCTGAACTTTAAGGGTGTTTGTTTTCATGGTCAAAGTCCATGTAGGGCAGAGGGACTTGGCTTTTACTTACTTTATAACCAGGACTGGGTTTAACAGCTAGTGGGCCCAACTAGATGTCCTGTATTGTTTTCAAAGATTTATTCTCCTATAAATCAACTATTTTCCTTTCATGTTGTGTCGACACACTTGTAGTCATTTTTCTGTGATTTACTCTTCTCCCCTCTTTTGTGTATTCAACCTCTGCTAACGTGCACCTGTTCGCCTCTCTGACGGCAACATTCGTTTGAATTCATCTATGAACCCCTGGACTTTAACAGCTAATGTGTTTCAGAAAGATTTCTACTTATGTTAAAATCTTTCTGCACATTGTTTTCTGAGAAGTCGACACTAAATGTGGGATTGTATGTAAATAAAGTTATGATAATGCAAGAAAAACTCTACCAGCCCTACAAAACTAAAACTACTTCGCTAGATTTATTTATGAGTATATTAAATACAATGCATTGTTCTGAATAACAATGCATTGTATTTAATAAATTGAACGCATCCAAAAATATAAAATATTACATCCAGCATTACATGTTACTACATCAATGATAAAACTGATAATCTAATATTATAATATATAATAATGTCACCACTAAAGAGCCCATCTGGCTGCATAGTAAGCACTTTTACATAAATACTTTAAGTACATTTTATTGATTATATACTTGAATACTTTTGAATGCAGGACATTTGCTGTTATAATAGTTCTGTATGTATTATAGTATGCTATTATAACATTTGTACTTAAGTGAAAGATCTTAGTACCTTTCCACCACTGCTATTAGTCAATGCCACTGGCTCAGTCCCTTTCATCATTAGTGGGGTCTGAGTCACAGTTTATAAAAAGAATCAGCTATAGACCGCTATAGATCTAAATGGATCCATTACGTTTTCCACCACTACCCAGCGCTGTGCACTGCTACGTGCATGTGCGTGGACTTTAATTAGCCTCAACCTGCGCACATCGAAACCAGGCGCGTGCATGTGACACTAGCACACAGAGCGAGCGGAAAAGCATCATTGCAAGGAAGGCACTGTGACACATGTCCCCATCGTGCATATGCAAACGCAGTCTACGTCTTTGGACTAAAGGGAGCTGCTGGTCCCCCTAACCCCCCCTCTCTTTCCCCATGCTATGTGAACAGTGTTCCTGTGCTGGAATATTACATGGCCTTAATGGTTTGCTGTGTGGTCATTTTATTGAACACAAATTCATTTGATTTGTGTGGGAGGTGGTGTAGGGGTTAGAGCCCGCCGGTCCGCTTGGACCCTTCTGTGTGGAGTTTCCTTCCACGGCCCAGAAACATGCAGGTTAATTGGGGTACTTGTTGACTCTAAATAGCCTGTGAGCATGGATGCTTGTCTGTCTCTATGTGTCCGCCCTGTGATGACCTGGTGACCTGTCCATGGTGTACCTGCATCTCGCCCGCTGTCAGCTGGGGCTGACAAGGTGAAGGACAAGCGAATACAGATAAAGGATGGATGGACTTGAATTTAGAACATGCTTCATGTTCAAGCACCGAACTAAAGTAGACTAGTCAGGGCCTCTGATCAGGAACAGTTGGACCCACTTGAAAGCCCCTGACATATCATGCAGTGCACACTACTATTGTATGCCCAGCTGGAGACCAGCATTGCTTAAATCACAGAATGACTTTGACAGTGACCCATGACAGTGGCAGGCCATAACCTGTATTATGACTGCAGAGCCACTTGAAACCAGCATGCCTTTTAAGATATCACTGGATAGTAATGGCCAATATAAATCTATGCATTAAAATGCATATGTAAGATCTTTCTATTACTGTTATTTAGATATTTGTCAAAGAATGACATGAATACAGAAATGTTACCCAATTGATTTGACGTGTATCTGACACTCTGATGTAAAAATGTACTTCAGTAAAGATTCCAAGTGTTTCTGATTTCTCATGAAATGCTAGGCTAGGTGTACTAAGACAGATTACAAAAGCTCAACACAAAGTGCATGCACAAAAGCTTGGTTCCACACAACAATGGATCGTGTGATGGGAGAAATTATGAAAAAAATGTATAACTATTGCTTCTGTGAGCCATTCTTTTCTGATGTACTTTGCAGAAGATGAACAGTGCAATGTGTAAGATCTGGCCAAGTGTTGACCTTTTGTCAAAGACGTCTATACATTGTGCTGCAGAGATATCTAAATGACCTCGATAGTGAGTCACTTTCCATTCAGATGTTTATGCAAATGTTGAAGTATCGCATATGAAAAACGGTATGGAAACTGCAGAATTTAATACAACTTTTTCAATTAGGCCAAAAACTTTTTCCGCTCGCTCTAGGTGTTCTTTTGCCTTTGTTGATAAAGAGTTGATGGGGTATGAAAACGCCTTTGCTGAATAATATCTGATGTTGCAAAAATTTTACTCATATTCCCATAACACACAAATGCTTGTCTTAGTCTCCAGACAGCATGAAACATAGATAATATTAGCTGATATGAGAAACAATTTTAAAACTTGCCCAGTTCTAACAAATACCTGAAGAAATCTCTATTTTTCTACCTCTACGTCTTCTACTGTGTTCCCATGTGGATTAAAGACATACGAGCCTGTAGCGCACACTTCTGACCAAGCTGAGATTTGCATAGTTTACCTGCTCCAAACCAGCTGACGGAAACGCGCAGAATTCTTTCTTTTTTAATGTGACATTTAAAAATTTCGCTTAACATTTGCTTGACGATGGAGTGTAAACATTGCTACTGTAGCGTCCAGCTTTCCCTCAGTCCAACATGAGAGGACGAAGAGGTAGAGCTGCCCTGAGGGCTCAACCACATTGGAGGTACAGGGTGCTTTCCTACGTTTTGATCGTTGTTAGTTGGATTAAATCCAAAAAGTGAACAAGAAAACGACTCGTTAGCGGCAGTAGCAACTCAAATTCAGCCTGCTCGCCCATGCGCCGATGGTGTGAGCACGGACCGGCCCGATTCCCCGATCAGCAAACTTTCTGCTGCTGCCGTTACACAGGAGAGAATCAGAGATTTGCTTCCTGGCTGAATGCTTGTTGCATCACAGCCACTAACTGAAGGTAAATAGAATGTACTTGTATCGCGCTTTTCTAGTCATCCGACCACTCAAAGCGCCATCATTCACCCATTCACACCCATTCATACACTGATGACAAGGGCTACCATGCAAGGTGCCACCTGCTCATCAGGACTGTCTTATCATTCATACCCATTCACACGCCTCAGGAACAGCCTGCGGGAGCAGTTTGGGGTCTTGCCCAAGGACACATCGACATGGACTAGCGGACTATCCTCTGATTGAGGGACGACCCTGATCTAACACTGAGCCACAGGTCCGTCTCCTGGAGCTGCTGTTCCCTCTATTCCTTGTGGCTTGGAGTATGGTCACGTTTTTGCCACTTTGGATTTAATCCAATAAGCAAACTATTAAAACAAACACAGACCGAGGACGTATTCAATGCAGCTGGCAACACCCACAATGGCTGACATAGTGACGTCATACATACACAAAGTTCTGCGAAGAAATGTGCATCTCAACCAAAACAGTGACATTTTATGGCCAAATATAAATTGTGTGCTGCAATAAGAAAAGCTACGTCCAGCTATTCAACAACTCTTATCCAGTAATACCAGTTATATGGACAAATTTTAAGGCCACGACTGATTACAAAAAAATATGCTCCCTTCCAGATAATGACTAACCACCCAGATTAATTAAGAGTTTTATGCAACATTAACATATGTGGCGAGGAAAGGATTTGATCGCATCATTCTATCATATCTGAATCCTGCACCTCCCCAATGATGGACCCATATCAGTTTGCCTACCAAGCTAGTGGATTGTTAAGGATGCAGTCAACATAGCACCCCACCCGCCCTGAAACACCTGGAGTCCCCAAACACCTACACACGCATCCTGTTCATAGACTTCAGTTCTGCCTTTAATTCCATCAACCTACTCAAACTCTTTACCACATATTTGGATATGAAAATCGACCCCACCATGTGGCAACCTGTGGATCAGACCACAGAGGGTGAAGGTTAATCACCGAACCTCAGCACAGGAGCTCCTCAGTGCTGTGCTCTCTCCCTCTGCTTATTCTTATTGTTATTTTTATATGCTTTAAATCCAACGACAGTTCTGTGAAAACAGTTAAATACGCAGATGACACAACCATTCGGACCTCATCTCCAATAACGATGAAACCCGGTTCCGCTCTGAGGTGGCCCAAGCTGTCACTGGGTGAGCAAAACCCAGGAACTCATTATTGACTTCTGTTGCATGCCAAACCCCCAAAATACTCAAATAAATGGAGCAAATATTATTATTATTATTTGTAGTAGTAGTAGTAAAAGGAGTAGTAGTACAGTATATACGATGATTGTTATATTCTTGGATTATTATTAATCACGTATATTAAAGTTATAGCTGGTCAAGGTAGAGCTAATATAAATATCTTTCATACAATGCATTGTATTTAATGTGGTCCTTTTTTATCTGCAAAACTAAAGGTTAAAGTAACATAAATGAAATACTGAAGTAAAGTATAATTCAGTATTTGAGTAATGTACAATTTATTACATTTTGTTCAACACTTCATTC